GGCCGTGGGCTGTGTGCAGTGAGGTGCTGTGACCAGGGGCCCTTCCCTGGGCCGTGGGCTGTGTGCAGTGAGGTGCTGCTGCTCTGGCCGTTCACTATCTTCCCTTCAGCCTCCTCGAGGTCAGCCTTAGTGCTTGCTTCCTTAGCCCCCTGTCCAGCTCCTGCCTTTCCTTCCTGGATGACATTCAAGCACTAATGGGAAGGAAGACATCCACCACTCCAGTGCTTCGCAAATCAAGTGTTGTTCTGTTTTGTTTATGTAACTTTGATATGTCCATATGTAATCATCATAACACAGCATGTTGTGCTGCTTTCTACTTTATGCTGTAAATAATGGCAAATGATTTTTCTTCTGAAAGTATTTATTTATATTAATAATATGTGCTTTGTTGAAGCAATCACACAGACATAACTCTGGTTAGCATTTTGGTCTATAGCCTCACAGTCTCTTCCATTGACTGTATTGTATGTTTCTTAATAATAATCTTTTTAACTTTATATATTCTATTTCCAGGTTATCTAGGCTCTTTAATAATGATTACCTTCCAGTATTCTGTCAGTGAAAGTACATGTGAGAAGTAAGGTCTTGATTTTACTAAAAGTAAAAGAGCAGTAAAAAGCACCAGGCCCCAGGGATTAACAGATGACGAGGAAGATGGCTTTCTCAGAGTAGAGGGTTCCTCACCACAAACCAGGAGACTTCAGAGAATAAGCTGTTTCATTAATAGTGTCATGTTAGAAGTGATTTCTTGATGTTAAGTGTGGGAGAATGTGTTTTCACCATAGAAAGTGCTCTGGACAAGGTCAGTGCCTCTGACTCTGGAGCACTCACAAAAATCTGTGTTGTGCATCTGGCGCTGCTGGAGTGCAAAGCCCTCAGAGGATAGAAATGCATACCGCCAGTCACACTCAGCCTCTTTTCCATCAAGCTGGTGACATTGCAATCACAGACCCTTGGCTCTGGCTGGAGAATTTGTACATTACTTAATATTTTACAATTAGTCTTATTTTGAATTGTTTGGGATGAATACCTTTTCAAGTAGAAACTGGTACTAATGAAATTTAATTATATCTTGTTTAAAATTCAATGTGATAAATCACTATTAATATTGTACACAAGTTGGGAAAAGCAAGTTAGGTCTCAAAATGGAGGGCCATGAGCCAAGGGAAGCAGAGCTGTTGAGGAGATGCTCTGCTCTTGCTTTGGAACCACAGACAGTTGTTTAAGAGAACAATCTGGAAAGGGCACAGTTACAGACTGTGTGATAATGAGACGTCCCCAAACACAACGATCCAGGAGCTTTGGTGCTGTGACTTGCTCTTGTGTTACTGAGGTAGAAGCAGCAATGTGTACTAGATACAAGGTTGCTGAGTGCTCAGTGGAACCAAAGAGAGATGCTGCTCACTGAAGAGTGAAGGAAATGTTTGCCAATGGTGTTCGAGAAAGATACAGAGGAATATCATTTGAGAGGAAGCTTTGAAAAGTGTGGCAGGACTGAGACCATAGAAGTTACGGAAGACAAGCAGAGTGGGGAGGGGACTTGCTTGCGTTACTTTTGGCAATCATGCTACAGTTGATAAAGCTGTATTTATCAACAAGCTGTATTTAGAAATGCCATACTCGTGATGAGATGGTTGGGAAGTGAAGATGACCCTTTCTAAACCAAAGAGACATCTGCTGGAGCATAGAGGTCATGAAACAAACCTTAGTAGAGGAGGAGGCTGCGATAGGGGACAGGCGGCAGCAGAGGTCCTTCTAGTTACAGCAGTAGAGGAGGCTATGGTGGTAGAGATACTGGATAAAATGAATTTGGGTGTGATGGCAGTAACTGGGATTGTGGCCTGCCTGTAGTACTAGAGGAAGCTGGGGTGGTGGGCCAGGATATGGAAACCAAGGTGGTAGACACTGTGGTAAAGGAGGAGGACATGGTTACAATGAAAGAGGCAATTTGGGTGGAGGTAACTGTGGTGGTGGTGGTGGTGGTGGTGGTGGTGGTGGTGGTGGTGGTGGTGGTGGTGGTGGTGGTGGTGGAAGCTATAACTGTGTGTGAAGTTATGGTGGACAACTGCAGTCAGATTCGAGTCACCGTGGAGACAGTGCTGGTCGAGGACACTCAGGCAGTCCTGTGGTGGTAGAAGGATGGGGTGAAGTAGCTGAAGGTTCTTAAGGACAGAAGAAAGGGAGAGAAAATCATCCCAAATGCACTAGAGGAACTGAAATGTCACTGCAGCTTGTTGGAGGATGGTCCCGTGTTAGTTCCCAGCTGCTCAGCCCTGAAATAATTACACAGAAACTACATTATTTAAATCACTGCTTGGTCCATTAGCTCTAGCTTCTTAATAGCTAACTCCTACATATTAATTTAACCCATCTCCATTAATCTGTGCATCACCACAAGGTTGTGGCCTACCAGCAAAGTTTCAGCACGTCTGTCTCCAGTGGGGCTCCATGGCTTCTCTCTGACTCTGCCTGCTTTCTCCCAGCATTCAGTTTAGTTTTCCCCACCTAGCTAAGTTCTGCCCTACCAACAGGCCAAGGCAGTTTCTTTATTCACCAATGGTATTCGCAGCATATGGAGGGGAATTCCACATCAGAAGCTTAAGCAGAAAACCCTTCCTCTCAGGACTGACGTAGCCACAGTTACAAAGAACACAGCTATTGATTAATGCAATGTAGTGTCCATTAGTGTGCATGCCTGAGGTCTCTCCTGTGCTGTAGCTTTGCCTATTTCTTTCTCTTTTCATTACATCAGGTAGTTGTGATTATGGTAGTAGTGCCAGGAATCAGAATTAAAGATTGTTTAGCTTTTCAGTGTCTGCATTATTCAGTCTTTTCATACTTTAGTGTAGAGATTGTTAAAGGTCTTTTCTTGTGAGTTAGCAAGTAAATATCATTGTTAATTATAGTTTTGTATAAATTTTCCTAAAATTAACTACAGAAAAACACCTACTGACTTCCTGTGGAAGAGCACTCATTCTCCTGTTTCTGAAACTATGATGGATAGGTGTGGCATGTAGGGAGGAGAGATGCTTGTTGGCTTGCAATGTGTGCTAGATAGTTAAGGTTGGGTAATTAAATTAACATATTTGTGAATTTAATAGGATTAATATTTCCTTAAAATAAAAAGTTAGTGTTTGATTTATGTGCATTTTCTTTCAAAATGTAATCATGATTTTAGGTGTGTTAGATTTATTGAGTCCTAACTGTGTTAAGAACTTCCCTGTTCCACATTTACATGGTCTCATTGAAACTACGGACGATAGTTCTGGGGGTAACCTGTGTCTATTGCTCTGCTTGGTTTCTGAAAAGGGACAATAGATGTTTTCCACCTCCCACTTTAACATCCTTGACTGATGGTACAGACCACTGAGGTCTCTGAGTAAACTCAGGGTACCTGGTTTTATTCTGTTTTCAAGTTTTATAGACTAGAAGCCCATAAACCTTCAAGCACTTTCTTTGCTTATTATTGGGTTGTTTTTTTTTTTTTGGAGTTTTTTGTCCCATATAAGTTTTCAAAGCTAAAATATAAAATTCACTAAATGAACCCCTAACTTGCCAACATACTTTTCCTGATTTACCATGTACATCTTGCTGCATGAAACCAAGGATAATTCAAGTGCCATTGTCTAAAATAAGTAACTTTTCACGTTTCCATGTCCTATTGGAGTAGTCTCAGATTTCCTAAGAGCTCAATGACTGTTCTATGTATTTCAACCCAAAACATGGTGCTGTGAGTTACAATTAGTCTGGAAGGCCCTGATTGAAGAGTTTTAGAATATGAGGTCATACATCTGCAAAGTCACGTCAGCTGCCTTGCTCCAGTCAGCGCTTAAAAATTCATCCGAGTCCTAAGTGAACAGCCTGCTGTTACCCTTTCTTTGACAGTTAAATGCTTGAGCTCAAAATTTTACTTGGTTTTTTTTTTTAAGTGCTAAGCAAAACAAGCAATAAAAAGGACGACAGGGAAAAAATAAATCACCATTACTCACCATTACTATGTTTTCCTAAAAGACATATAAATACATTTTATGCAGTTTCTAGAAACATCAATCCTTTGATAATGTGTCAATATTACATGCAAAACTAGGCTGTGGTTCTGTGGTAGTGTGTGCCTAGCATATCCAAGGACTGGGCTGTAGTTCCATGGTAGTGTATCCCTAGCATATCGAAGGCCCTGGGTTTTCTTCTCAGCACCAGAACAACAAAAACTTGCATGTAAACAGAGGCTTTTATAGTTAAGACTAATGTGTTTGTCCAACACTCTTATGACTAGAGGTGTTCTTACCATAATCTTCTCAGTGGTTTAAGACAGATCAGCTCAGACTCTTGTGCTTTACTGTAAGGAAGGTCATGCAAATAAAAAAAAAAATCTTATGGACCAGAGAGAGGAGGGGAGGGGAGGGGAAGAGTCAACAGCCTCTTGCCTACAGTTGAGAATAAGTAGGCAGCCTAACAATGGCATCCCTGGGTATGTGTGAATAGTGGGATGCCCCTTAGAGAACTTGACAATGGCATCTTTGGATATGTGTGAATAGCAGGATTAACCATGTAGAGATACTGAGATCAACTGAGGGCTTCATTGATAAAGACATATTATTGTTGGGAGGTGTGCCACTTTTTGGGGTTCACTCCTAAAGAGCTTATATGAATGAATTTGTAGATATTATATCTGACCCTCCCTACACTGCCATTAAGATAGGATCAGTTTGCATGCTGACATCCTGAATTCCCCCGTATTTAAAGCATTCATGACCTTCTATAGGCCACCCAGAAAAGCTGAGAAGTAACCCTTTGGCCACTCTGGAGGCCCAGCTGTGTAAAAGCCCTCTGTTTGGGCTGTTCTCACTTCACTGTGGTTCAGCACAGTGCTAGGTCATGAGCTCCACCTATCTCTAGAGTTATTGCCTCTAGGAACTGTTTTCCCAGCCCATTACAAGTGAGCAGTATCAAGCACCCCGTAAACACACTGATTGGCCATGATTTTTGGCCTATTCTGAAGGGACGAAGTGTTCAAATATAAATACTATAGGTTGTAAGATTTGGGGTTTTACTTCCTGTTTCTGCCTATTTCCTACAGCTTCTTTACTGTAGTATGTTTAGTGCATGAACAACTCATCTATCACTCCTTCTACAAGTATACATTTAATTTTAACCCTGATGATGAAATTTTATTTGAAACCTCACACACAAATTCATAGAAAGTTACTTAAACCTGCATTCCCATTAGAGACATTCTAAGAATTCCTCGTGTTGGGCACAGTGATGCACACCGCCATGGCAGCACTTGGAAGACAGAGGCCAGAGGACTGGGCATCCCTGGGCAGCCTCTGCTGCAGAGCACCTTTGAGACCATAGCTGCAGCTTGTGCAGTCGTGGTGCCCTGCAGTTTGTAGTCTGTCTGTAGTCAGTGTTGATTTACCAGCCTTATAGTACATGCTACATCCCACACAAGTGGAAACTGCAGTTGAGACAAGTCGGCAAGTGTTCCGGTGCTTTAGCTTCGTGCTCAACAGCCTTCCCATGACCACTTCCCACAGTGGCTGGAGTCACACATCCACACTATCCTTCCGAGTTCCTGTCCCATGTCCACTCCCTGTACAAGCAGCAGTGTGGCACCAGTTAGGATGTGCGTTCTTTGAAAGCCAAGGACTTAATTCTTCTGAGACTGGATGACTTCACTCTTCGTTTTAACCAGACCACTATAAAATGTAACTTTAAGAGGATGACCAAGTGAAGAGAGAATTCTTATAGTGCCATTAGCCAAAGGAACACTTTCAAAAGTTTATCTATGCCACTTAATGTCGTATCCAGTGGGTCCTCAATACAGAGTGTAGATTAACTCACGGAATGTAAGTGTGGACAGTAGAAAAAGGTAAAGCAATAATGGGATATTTGCACTGACCCAGGAAGTCCCAGGCTTCAAACAGCAGAGCCATGCTCAGAGCTGTGATCTCCTTACACCAATATGACACCAAACTGTCCATAAGTTGTGTGAAATGAGTATAGGAAAAAAATGGATTTGATCTAAGTGAACATGCATGGAGACTGAAGAATAGTTTGGAAGCTTTCTGCAAATAATCCAAATAGAATATTCAACATAAAGTGAAGTAAAAAAAAAACAAACTCTTGTGTGTGAGTACTACATTGATATTTGATGATTAATATATTGACTGTAGAATTTCTGGTTATGGTTTTAGAAAGACATTGTGCTTTTGTGATTCTGGAAGCAAAGGTCACTGAGCTTCTTTTGTCTTCCACAGCTCTGCGAGTGAATCTGGTTCTCAGAGCACCTGTGAGCCACTTGTAACTCCAACAGCCCTGGCTGCCTGCACCAGAGTCGACTCCTGTTTCACCCCATGGTTTGTCCCGTCTCTCTGCATGTCCTTCCAGTTGGCTCACCTGGAGTTTCGCCTCTGCCATCACTTGGACCAGCTAGGCACAGGTATGCACCACTTCAGCGTCAGGAGGGCATCTGCTCAGTACCATGGCACTTGGTTTCTCCACACGCTGCCTCACTTTACCGCAGCAGCCCTGGGCACTGGCGGATTCACCCTAAGGTTGATCTGGCACAACAGGTGTGACCCCTACTCCTCACTGAGTGGCATTGTGGTGACATGTTTTGACATGTTTCCTAAGAGAAGTTTCAAGGAAGTTTTTTTTAATTACTGTTATTCCAATTGCAGTATTTTTGAAAGAAATACATGTTTTAGTCTGTATCCTACATTAATGGGAAATAGATCCCAAAAATACTTGGTGTTTATCACCTAAGTTCAAGATGCCTATCCTATAAAAGATAGGCACATTCTCATGAAATTACAAGACTCATAATTTTACACATTTTAAAAAATATATGAATAAACTCCCCCACCTAGCAAAAGTAGGCTCCTATAAGTTCCCAGTATTACTTGAATAATTACTTCTCATATGTTGTGTTCCGTATCAATGCTTTTCTAGTTTTAGGTTTTGGGTTTTCAGCCTACATGTCATGGAAAAAAAGAGGGAGATTAAAACTGGACATAGCTTCTGTTCAGCATGTTGCCTTTTCAGCAAGAATAGAGTTTACCTGCTTTTTCCTGAGTCACGTCTTTGTTGTTTAGATATTTAGACGGTTGTCTGCTCCTGTTGCTGTGATCAACAGCTTTATCTGTGGAAGCGATGACAGCCTTTGAGCAGACAGAACAATGTATCTGCAGTGTCAGACGGTCCTGCAAAGGCTGTAGCAGCTTAAAAACAATTGTTTACATTTATGAATACCAAGTTCTAAATTCAAAACCAAGTGGGTCATTTAAGTCACCTCATTTGTTTCCATGCAGAATCGCACATCTTAATTGCTATTTGTCTTGTTTCCTTCCAAGCTTCACCACGGCATCTCCAGCCATTCATTCCTGATAAAAATGTGCCATCTGAACTAGAGTACATGGTGATTTCCTTCAAAGAACCAACCCTGTATCTTCGACAGTGGAGCAGCGATTCCGTCTGCCAGGAGCTCCGGTTCTCATCGCAGGTGGACTGTCGGCTTCTGGAGTGCAGAAACGTCACAATGCAAACTGTGGTGCAGCCCTTTGGCATCTCTGGGCAGATCTCACTCTCAGACGACGGAGTGCAGAGGCGGCTGGACGGCACCATGATCATGGACTCGGTGCTTGTCAACTTTGGGCAGCATGTGGTTCACTCCCTAAACACTGCGATACAAGCTTGGCAGCAGGTATGCACATTCCACAGCAGTGTGCAGTTTAGCCACGTCTGCTGTGTCATTGCACTCTCCATGTTATTAGTGAGAGAATGCAGCATTTGATGGGCACCACTGTATGCTGGCCTTCTTTGTCTTGGTAAAGTGATGTGAAGCTTCTCTATAGAAAACTTGGAGGATGTGGGTTCACACACATCAGAGATGTTGCCCATCTGTTCTTGACTAGTATACCACATCCAGGTGGAAAGTAACATCGTCCTAAGAATTTTTTGAAGTCCTGTTTAGCTAAAGCTTCAAATTCGGTATATTCCAGAGTGTCTGAATATTCAGTGCAGAAATGAAGGTCTTACAGTAAGCCTTCCAGATTCTCAGACAGAAACATAATGCAGTTTAGTCTTTTCCTTTGCTGACATCCTGCCTTTTGATCCACTAGAATATTCTTATATTCATTGAGAATTGTAGTAACTTTAATCATTGTCCTTGTATTTTTATAAGAAATTATTCATATCAAAAAACAGAAGATGTATAAACCAATCCTGAATGACATATTTAAAATGAAAACCTGCCAGTGTCTGGCATCATGGGTGTCTGGATGATAATGCATCCAGAGAGACAGAAAGTCACTTCTGCTCGTGCGCTGTTCTCATGGCTGCACCGTGTGGCCCCACGTGTCGTCCCCGTTCTGCGCGTCCTCCTGCGCTGACCTCTCAGTGCGGGCGCTAGGCAGTGGTGTGGGCTGTCTGTTCCGTAAAGGAGTTCAAGGAAGAGCACTAAGGGGAAATTTTTGTGGGAATAACTTGAGGATCTTTATGGAAAGAATTTTATGAAATAAATAATTCTAAATAATTTTTAAGTTACCCAACCTAAAATGTTTATGAGAATTAGATTTTTTAAAAATAAAATTTAATGTTCACTTTATACGCGTGAAGACCTATATAAGACTAAGGAATTAATTGCTTGCCATGGTACTACAATAGCAAAGGGAAAGAAGATAACACATCTGGTTTATATTTTAAATCTTTTTTAAGGGCATTCCATGGTTTTCTTGTTGCAAAGGACATGCGTAAAATAAGAGCTAGTGTGATCTAAATCTTTGCAGCTGGTTCAAATAGCAATGTGAAAAAAACTTCCCTAGCTCCAATTTCTAGGGTTTTTTTCATATTTTGAACAATGCATTTAATAAAAAACAAACATAGAAAATAGAAAAGAATTCTTGATAGAGGAATTTAACTCAGGACATTTTTGTCTTGGTATCAGAGCTTTTTAAGAAGACTCATATGTGGCAACTACTGCAAAATGGCCTTCAAAATATCAGTTTTCTCCCAGAGAAAAAAATGTTCCTAGACACAGCTATACACATAAATAAAATATGGTACATAAATATTTAAATGTTTTAAACCACATCAGACTGTGAATGACTGACTGGTTAACGCAGTGCCTTGCAGGAATACTCCATTAAGTAGGGCCATGTGTCACACAGTAGATTGCTGACAGGTACATTCTATGAATAGTTGGTTCTGATTTATACAGGGATTTGGCAATGTTAACATGAGCCACAGAGGATATGCTTCTGTAATTGTTGCTGTAATTTTCTTGTTTCCTCCCATGTCAAGGGTACTTGCCACCAAGTTTTAATGTGGTAGGCGTCGAACCCTACGTAGTCTAAAGTAAACATGAAAGTACACTACTTTGAAATCAGAGGACAGTTGACATTGAAATGGGCTGATACAGGCTTATTACACTCGTTATTTCTGTCCTGGACGCAGCTTATTGTCTTTAGAGGGAAGTTTATTCTGAAACTTGAAGTTATTGTATGTTTAATAATGCCAGCATATAGTTATTGACAATGAAAAATGAATTTAATAAGTATAACAAGAGATTTGCGAACGCCATCTACTTTTTAAAATCAGATTGTTATCAGGCATGAAATAGTTTGGTCCTTCACCTTCAGGTCATAAGTTCAAAATTAACAGACCTTTCCATCGGTTTCTGATTTCTGTGGTTTTAGAGCGTTCTCTCTCTCCCTTCCTCTCTCCCTCTCCCTCTCTCTCTCTCTTTCTCTGTCTCTCTGTCTCTCTGTCTCTCTGTATATATTCATGTGTCAAATGATGATGGTTTCTTTCATGAGAATAATTTAAGAATTCAAAACCCCACTTTCTTTTTGCTTCCTGTGTCAGTTTCCAAGGTTTAAACAAATAGCATCTAAATGGAAATCACACTCACGTGTCTCCCTTATACCAAATGTTATCTGTACCATGCAGATTCCCATACTTGAAATATGAATCTTTTTAACTACAAATCCTTGCGAGCATCCTGGGACTTAGCATAGATGGTGTCACATAAATGAATATATGCATTTTATATAATATAACAGAATCTAAAATATTCCAAGAAATGTTGAAGCTTATTACAGTTATAGTAAATTCTGTAGATGAAGGAGCAGTGGAGAAACACTTCCCCGAGGACCTCAAGTATACTTTAGAAAAATGTAAACAACCCCTTTGTGTTCTTTAATTTACATTTTCCCCTAAAGCCCTCGTTGTTTATTAAATCCTCATCAGTTTTTCGGGATGAGGAGAGGAACCTCCAGCTGGTAACTTAACCTCTGTGTTGAGACTGATCCTGACCTCAGGATGTGTAACTGAGGGGGAGCTGCAGGCAGACCCTTCCTTCACGTCTGTGCTCTTGCATGGAAAGGAGAGAGAAATGTTTACAGGAAAGCAGTTTATTTTGATTATATAATACCAAGTGGAAAAATCTCATCAAAACTAATCACACACTGTGATTCTGGTTTGATTAAAGGTTTTAGATAAATACATTAAATGGGATTGGGTAGATCAGTCTGAAATAGTAAGAGCCAGAATATTCAGGGGGGGAAAAAACATTGCTTGAGAAAAATTCTTCCAAATGAGCATAAAATTGACAGTTTTAATTCACTTTTTAAATATTTTTCAAGTTTTTATAAAGTCAACATGTTTTCCCAACATAATTATTAACATTAGACTACGGTATGATTCGTTGGTAGAGTGCTTACCTGTGTGCATCTGGCCCTGTGCTCAAGTCCCAGCATAGTCAGAAGACTGACTTTCTTTTGTTGTTTGTGTCCTGAATGTCTATTGAGGACCTAAGCATCAGGAGTCCTGATGAGTGCTGGAGGTAAAATTTCTTCGTGGGCGGCAAGTGCAGCATCTGGCAGTGGACAGGCTAACAAGTCACCTGAGCTGACGGATGCCGGCACGTCCTCATCCTCTAGGGGACCCCACATGAGACCTGGGGATCTCAGAAAGCTGCTTTGAGGCACTGACTTTATACACAGGAACCTGCAAGTTGGTCCAATAAGAGGTCGAGGAAATGAGATTCTGCAGTAGGAAGGGACTGAACCAGGAAGCAGCTTCACATTTGACTGAATAAAGGAGGTCAGGGGAGTATGGAATAGCTGGGAAAGAACTGGAGTGTGGAGTAGCTAGGGAATAACTGGAGTGTGGAGTAGCTGGAGAAGAACTGGAGTGTGGAGTAGCTGGGGAAGAACTGGAGTGTGGAGTACCTGGGAAAGACAGAACTGAAGTGTGGAGTAGCTGGGAAAGACAGAACTGGAGTGTGGAGTAGCTGGGGAAGAACTGGAGTGTGGAGTAG